ACTTGTAATCTTATATTTAATTTATAAAATATATTTTTAATTAATTAATTAAAAAATAAAATTTAATAAATATCCGATTTTTGAAATTTTAAATATTTTATCTTAATTTTGAAATGAGTTGTAGTTAAACTCTTATTTATAAATTTTTCCCATATTTTAAGCTATCTATTTTAGCAGCCCAATCTCAAATGCCCAATTAGTTTCATTAGCCGAATATCAACCAAAAATTCAAATATTAAACTGAAGAGTGAAAAACTAACCCCAAATCCATTTTAGTCATTTCACTCTCTCCAACCATTTAACCCTGAAGAATAGTCAAACAAAGAAGATAATAAACTTTATCGTTAGTATTTGTTGCTTGCTCTACAATAGTATGATCTATATCGTAACATCACCATTTTATTGGTATCAGTTGTCCACTTTTTATTGTTATGTTGTTGTTGTTGTTATTATTATTATTATTTTGTTCTGGAATAGTAAATATTTGTTGGACGATAATTGGTAAGTGATTACATTCAATTTTTTCCCTTTTAAGTTTTGCCTTTTCAATTTGTCACCCATGATCCGTGATAAGACAAAGAGACAAATAATGACTCTTATTTGACATCATAGTATTTCTTATTTCTTATTCCTTATTCTTTTACATTTTCGTTTGATTGGTGGTACACATGTTTTTGAAGAATCAAGATAGTTTTAATTAAGATTTTAAAGTTTTTGTCAGTATAATTTTTAATCAGGTGCTATCTTCTATTTTTTATTTTTATTTTTATTTCATTTGGACTTTATATACTTTTATAATTTTTATTGTTGTAATAAAATAAAAGTTCAAAATGTATCTAGAAAACAACAATCAAGGTTTGGAAAACGAACGAAAAAGAGAAAAAATGAGTTGATAGTCTCCAGAAGGTGCTCTTGGCAGGTTTATTGTTTAATAATCTAAAATTGTGGACCAAGTACTTGGAAGTGATAAAAATGAAAATTATGAAAATGAAGATGTTGTGGAAATGAGACAAATTGAAAATGATAAAAATGACAATATTGATGATGAACTTCCTAAGGAAAATGATACTATAAAAGATGTTGATGATAAATACCTTAAGGAAAATGATAGTAATGAAGATGTAGATGGTTTAATTCATAGTAGGTCCATTTGCCTCCGCATCTATGATCCAAGAATTTGGGATAATCTTGACATAAAATCTAGAGAATTGCTAGTGATAAATGGTCTTACAACATCTATGATCCAAGAATTTGGGATAATCTTGACATAAAATCTAGAGAATGGCTAGTGATAAATGGTCTTACAAGAAACATTTCACTAGAAAAGGGTCCTAAAGATAATTTATCTAGACATTTCTCTTCAAACTATTACACTTGTTATTTATCAAATGGCGGGAAACATGTTAGGCCATGGCTGGTGTATTCGGATGATCTTGATAGAGTTTTTTTTATTTTTGTTGCAAGTTATTTAAACGAGGGTTACAAAAGGCCAATTAATGAATTAACCATGTCAATAAAGAAGTTTTTGTTGTTTTTGCGATCAACCATTTTACATAAATAATTGAATGGGTAACCTTTGATATCTATTGAACAAGATTTACTAGAATATATTAATAACGAAAGTTTAATTAGTGAGCTTGTTTCTACAAATGTGAGAATAAATATTTCAACATAATTTGTTACATTTCAAAGTTTACACATAATATTTGCTATTTTTTCTTTCAATATTTGCTCATATGAAATTGCACGAAGAGGTTAGTAACTTGGATGGTTCTTTATTGATGACGTATGAATTTTGATGAAAGTTGGGAGATGATTTTGAGCTTTACTTTTATTTTTCTTATTCACTACACGTAAAAAATTAAACAAATATTTAAATGTCATATTTTTTCAATAACATAATATTATAAAAATATATTTCTTAATTACATGAAAGTGACGACATTTTAAAATGTCATATACGGCAACCAAAATATCACACAAATGTGATCATCTGATTTTTTTTCCTTAATTTTTATTATTTTTGAAATTACATTCTGAGCATGTTTGAGTCCCATTTTTTTGGAACTAATAAATTTTGAAATAGTATTTTGATAGATAATTTGTGACTAAAATATATATAAAAAAATTGAATTTTTGTATAATTTTATTTTATTAGAAAATGTATAATTAAAAATAAGAAAGAAAAAAATATATTTTGAAAATAATAAACCGGCTTGAAACATTGGTATGGCAGATTTTCCCTATTTTTTATTTATTTATTACGACCTTTCCCCCATTTTCTTGCATTCCGTTTCTTAAGTATATAAGGCCTTGTTTGGCCAGTGGCGAATTGGATTCGAAAGTGGAAAATCCCATTGATTCGAGCATCGAGACGAAGAGAAAGGAGGAGGACATCTTTTCCCTCCCTTTCCCTCCATCTTCACGAGTGCACTCTGTATCTAATTTAGGGTTTCATAACTCCCAAATTGGAGTAGAAATGAAACGAGAACGAGAATTCATAGAAGTCTCAGACGACGAATGGTCCCTTCACTCCGATTCCTTTAAACCCTCTCGCGTCCTCAATCCCCAATCCAAGCCTCCTCCTATTGAATCATTCGCTTACACCAATAATAATACTAGTACCAGCAACAACAACAACAACAACCATAATTATAATCCTAATGGTATTGATGATTCAATTTGCATTTTAGACAGTTCATCTTCAGAGGAGGGAAATCAAAATGTTGCTGACAACTTGGAGGATGAAGATGTTTACCTGGAGGTCAGTAAGCCTTCAACAACGGTTAATCGTGGCCGTCGATTTGTGATTGAGGATGATGAAGATGAGGAGGAAGAAGTAGCTGTGGATGCAGTCGGGCTAGATGATTTTGATGATGGTTCTGATTTTTCCGGGTTTGAGGAAGAGGAGCAGAACCTAGACGAGGCCGATGATGACGTCGTCAAGAAGGCGCTACGCAAGTGTGGCAAGATATCGGCGGAGCTCAAGGAGGAGTTGTACGGTACAAGTGCTGCACAGTTCGATCACTACTCTGAAGTCGAGGAGGCCTCTGCTGTAAAAATTGTCACTCAGGTACAGTTTGGTAGTGCGTCAAAGTGCAACACCGTGTTAAATAATTTTACAATCTATATGACATAGTCTTATGAGTTGAAAAAAAATTACATATTTTGTTCACGCTTGGATGTAAAAACAATATATGCATGCAAATTTAAAACACTATGTTTTCTCAACTAAGAGGAAATATTGGAAAAGCACAGTAAAACTGGTTATGCATACAGCACTAATTCAGCATCACAAGACATAGAATAAGTACAAAATTTCTTGTCACATTTGCAATGTCAGTTTTACTGGATGCGTCTTTACCATGCTATTCTGCTGTAAAACTCAAAAAGAAGATTATAGAACATGGAATTCAGGAATTTGAGCTCTCCCTCCCCCAATTGTAGGGTGATGTAAACGAGGCGTGTGGGGCTGATCATTCAGACCCGATGCTAAAGCCCTACCAACTTGTTGGAGTCAACTTTCTTCTTCTGCTGTACAGAAAGAAAATTGCTGGAGGTATTTTTCTTTTATGAATTCACATTGTGATGTGTTTCTCTGTTTTTAGATTTGTTTTATTTAAGTTATCTATTGAAGCAACGGTTTTCAGAGGCTGAAGATTTGACATTACACGCATCCTTTGACACTTTCGCGATATTAATGGGATTGCTGGATGTAGATCTTTTAAGTTTCCACGTTATTGTCGTGTTGAACCCTACTTGAGAAGGAAATGTTTATGAAGGCTCACCATTTGTTTGACCTTTAGAATGACTAAGATAGAAAAAGATCCTGATTACAATACCATAGTGGAATCTATTGTGGCTATCGATAAGGTTTTGAATGGTAGATTTTGGGTTTTAGAGTTCTGGAGATCATTGGATGTACCACATGAGAAAGATCCCAGCCTCTCAGGATAGCACTTTATGAATATTCCACATTTCAATTTTGCATACTAATTCAACTTTTACATGTACACTAACATACTGGACATTTGATGCTTGCGTTTTTATTAAACGGAAGCTACGAGAGTTGCACTAGGAGATGAAACTTTCAAGGAAATGATGAATATAGAAAAAAGATGTTCAGTCTTACCCTTGCACAAATCAAGAAGCTAAGTGCAATCATTGAAAATGTGTGGGTGCAAGTTTATGATAGCCTTAATGGACGAAGTTAATAACTGTAGGGATGATTGCCGAGGATAATGAAAAATAGCAAAACTTGGACAAAGATTTTACTCAAGAAATAATGCGGCTTTACTATAAAATAGGAATAGAGGATTACAAGATGAGTTTCGAATAAGAGTTACAAAGCATCTGAAGCTTTCTATTTCTCTCAATAACAAACTTTATCTTTCTCAAATCCTCAATTAGTGCTCATTTGTTTTTGGCACTCGCTCATTGAATACACATATATGATGAACATATCCTAAGGCCTATTTATAAATTTTGTAAGGCAATTTATCATTTAACAAATACAACTTAAATTCCTCATTTAGAAGTTGAAAAATCAAACATGAACTCGATCAACCAATAAGCATTCTTGACTTGGTAGATTTACTTAGTTGAATTTTCTACTTAGTAGCAAAGAACAATTTGATAACTACAATTTATCTTTTGAGGAGGTAAAATTCAACTTTGCTTCCACCTCTATTATCTTTTAACCTTATCTCGAAGTAAAATCAAAATTTGTCTTTACCTCTAACAATCTCTCACTTGGAGACAAATATCAGGTTGCAGTGGAACTCCGCCTTCATCATCAAGTACTAAAACCGACTGAAGTTGAACAGGACTTCAGTTTTTCGATAGTAATACTACCTTTGTTAACATATCTGCAGGATTTTCTTAGTGTGAATCTTCTCCAAACTGATTTTACCACCCTCTAAGAGCGAACGAACAAAATGGTATTTATTGTCAATATGTTTCGTTCTTGAGTGAAATGCAGAATTCTTTTCGAGATGTATAGCACTTTGACTATCACTATACAACTTGCAGTCATCAAGATTCTTGCTCAATTTACTCGAGAAATTTTGAAACCATACAATTTCCTTGCAAGCTTCTATCATTGCTACATACTTTGCTTCTGTAGTACAAATGGTTATAATCTTTTGTAACTAAGAGGCCTAGATAATTGCAGCACTTCCAAGAGAGAACACATATCCACTTGTGCTCTTTCTGCTGGCAATTTCTCCTACAAAATCAGAATCAACATACCCATGCAAGCCTATCTTTGAGCCATCCTAACACAGCCATATCCCAAGTACCTTTCAGATATCGCAATATTCACTTGACTGCTTCCCAATGCTCTTTGCCAGGTTTATTCATAAATTTACTAACAACTCTCACTGCATGAACAATATCTGGTCTTGTACAGACCATAGCATACATCAAGCTCCCAATGGCTGAGGCATAATGGACCTTAGCCAGCCTCAGCCATGTACTCTTTCTCCTCGTGTGTTATTGCTACTTGTTCATTCGTCAATCTGAAGTGACCTGCTATTGTGGACTTTCCATGTTGAATCTCTTGAGGATTTTACCAACATATTCTGCATGTGATAACTTTAATATCTTGTTCTCCCCGTCTCTACGAATTCGCATTTCAAGAATTTGTTTTGTCACACCCAAATCTTTAATTGCGAATTCTTTAGACAACTACCCCTTGAGCTTAATAATTTCATCCATGCTTGAACCTGCAACAAGCATATTGTCTATGTACAAGAGAAGTATCAAATACTAAGTGTCCAGCTTTTTGTAACGACAACAATGATCACCATGGCACCTATGGAAGCCTACACTTGTCATGAAGTTATCAAATTTCTTATACCACTGCTTAGGCGCCTATTTTAGCCAATATAAACTCTTCCATACTCTCCTTTCCTGTAACCACGGACTTGAGGTTGATGCATATAAATATCATATTCCAAATTACCATGAAGGAATGTAGTTTTAACATCTAACTACTCCAAATGCAAATCCTCAACCGACACAATGCTAAGCACAGTTCCGATGGTAGAAATTTTAACAACTGGAGAGAAAATCTTAGTGTAATCGATACCTGCCTTCTGTTGGAAACTTTTTACAACCAACTTGGCCTTGTATCATTTGGTGCCATCGAGTTCTTCTTTCAAGCGATAAACCCACTTATTTTGTAAAGCAGATTTTCCTTCTGGCAATAGAATTAGTTCCCACGTCTAATTCGTTAAGAGAGATTCCACCTTATCATTCATTGTCGGCTCCTACTTTTCTCTCTTCTCAACCTGTAATGCTTCCTCATAACACTCAAGTTCACCATTGTCGGTCAGTAATAAATAATGCAAGGAAGGCAAATAGCGAACTACACGCCTAATAGTTCTTGTAGACCTCGTCACAGGAACTGGGGTTGGCATCTCTATCCACGTCAACTGGATATTCGTATCTTGGGGTTTTAACACATCTCTACTAAAGATTTTCCCGAGTTCCACTGTTCCTTAGTCTTGTCATCAAGTCTATCCTTGTACATGATTTTCATAATCCCAAAATCGATAACCATAATTATCAAATGCCATAACCAATAAAGATGCATTTACAAGACTTAGGATCAAGCTTATTCCTATACTTAGGCTCAATGTGAACATAAGAGATGCAACCAAATGTTTTTAAATGCGATGAGTTCATCTCTTTTCTCGTCCACGCCTCCTCTGGGATTCCGCAATTCAAGGGAATTGAAGGACCTCTATTAATAAAGTAAGCAGCTATGCTTATTGCATCTGCCCAAAACTGTTTTGGTAAACCAGAATTAATCCTCATACTTCTAGCACGTCCAAGGATTGTTTGTTAATACGTTCTGCAACACCATTTTGTCGTGGTTTTCCTGAAATTGTCGGTACTTGTCGAATTCCATTTTCTGCACAATTTCAACTTTAAACCTGTCTCATTTTCAACGAGGACTTTCTGCTTTTTGATGACACCAAATAAATTAGATTTGTTTTTCATAAAGTAAACCCATAGCTTTCAAGTTGTATTATCAATAAAAAGTAACAAAGTAGCGAGAGCCACCAAGAGATGCTACCTGAGATGGTCCCGAAGTGGGAGATTGTTAGAGATGGAGACAAATTTTGATTTTACTTCTTAGAGATAAGATTGGAAGATAATAAAGGTGGAAACAAAGTTGAGTTTTACCTCCTTAAAGGATAAGTTGTAATTATCAAATTACTCTTTACTACTAAGAAAAAAATTCAAACAAGTAAATCTATCAAGTCAAGTAAGGAAATGAAGTTTTTTGGTAGATCAAGTTCATGTTTGATTTTTGAACTTCTTAAGGAGGAATTAAAGTTGTATTTGTCAAATGATAAACCGCCTTACAAAATCTATAAATAGATATTAAGATATGTTCATCATATATGTGTGTTCAATGAGCGAGTGCCAAAAACAATGGAAAGCTAGGTGAGGATTTGAGAAATGTAGAGTTTGTATTGAGAGAAATAGAGAGTTTGAGATGCTTTGTAACTCTTATTTGAAACTCATCTTGTAATCCCATGTTCCTATTTTATAGTAAAGCCGCATTATTGCTTAAGTAAAATCTTTGTCCAAGTTTTGCTAATTTTTATTATCTTGGGCAGCCATCCCCTACAATAACGTACAACTGAAAGGGTTCAAGCTCCGACTTGGAAATTATTCAGAGTATTGGTTGCTTTTGATACCAAAAAGAGCTTCATACAAATTGCACTATTTCTTGATAATTACAAACAAGTTGCGGTAAGTCTAAATCAAATAAACTTAGAATTATGTGAATTCGTTTTTGCCATTGCATTTGCCTCATCCCTACAGCTACTAGGTCTTTTGTGTCAACAACTGGTAATATTTATTTTGGTTACCCTCTTTCTCTCTTACACGTAGAGATGGCAATGGGGTGGGTTCCCGCCCCACCCTGCCCCGCCACTCCCCCACCCCATCCCGCCCCACCTTAGACGAGGTGGGGCGGGTTCGGGGCGCGAGCCTGGCCTGTTTCCTGCCCCGTTTATTTTTATTTTTTTTTAAAAACTTCTAATTAACTATTTTTTGTTTTTAATTTGTAGTTAATTATTTTTTTTATTCTTCACGGGGCGCGTTCGGGGGGCTTCGGGGTGCCCCGCCCCGCCTTGCCCCGCCCCGCCCAACCAACCCGTTGGGGCGGGTTTTTTTCGCCCCATTCGGGGCGGGGCGAGGCTTTTTGTCATCACTACTTACACGTTCTGTCAAGATTGCAAGGGGGAAGGAGGAATCTGTCTCTACTGTAGTTGGTCTTGTCTTTATGGTCGGTAAAAAACGAGACCATTAGCACATTACCTATTAACCTTCTCTCTCTTATAAAGAATCACCATTGTGAACAGCAATTTCTTTAGGTGTGCACAAGACATGCTCTAATCACCTAAGTTGTGCTTCCCTCACTTTATTTTCAATCAGTGCCACCTTCATTTGGTAGCATATTATCATTCCTTACATAGCATGCAATACCTTGAAGAATAGCAAGTCTAATATGTGTGATTGAATTGACTAAACCTTATAGAATATTCTATCACTTAGAATCCTTGTAACACTTATCCCTTTCATCTAGCCTGCTCTAATTCAATGTATTGTCTCCTCTTTGTACGTGCCACATTAGCAGTAAATAGAAAATGCACTTATGTTCTTATGATGTTAGACATATGGGTTGTGCGTATATCAATATAAGGCATTCCTTTCAAGCTGATGTCATGCGAATTGCATTTTTATGTTGCATTGCTTCTGATGTGGTTTTTCAATACTAGTTGTAGATATACTTTATCGTGTCATGTAATTTCCGTTGCTATTTTCTTGAGGTAGCATACCCGAATGTGTCATTTGTCACATGCTTCCATGGATAGTTTTAAGAGTCCTTAGTAACCTTTTTGGCATTTCATACACAGCTATATTGGCAGATGAGATGGGTCTTGGTAAGACTGTTCAGGTATGTGGTTCCAGTCTTTTCTTGACGGAACACTTGCACTTTTAATTTATAGTTTTGAATAATCTTAATTACATTCTCAGGCCATAACATATCTGGCCCTGCTGAAGCACTTGGAAGATGACCCTGGTCCCCATTTGATAGTATGTCCTGCATCTGTTTTGGAGAATTGGGAAAGAGAGCTAAAAAAGTGGATTCCATCCTTCACCACACTCCAATATCATGGTGCTTCACGATCAGCTTACTCAAAGGAGCTGAGCTCAATGTCCAAGGCTGGATTGCCACCTCCGTTCAATGTCATTCTTGTGTGCTACTCGCTTTTTGAACGTCACAGGTTTGCCCCATGAGTTTGATAAATTCATTATTTTGCAGTTTCATCTTCTCTTTTATGTCTGATAGTCATTGTTCAGTGCACAGCAGAAAGATGACCGCAAAATTCTGAAACGTTGGCGGTGGAGTTGTGTGATAATGGATGAGGCTCATGCTTTAAAGGATAAGAACAGCTACAGATGGAAAAATCTCATGACAGTTGCACGAAATGCAAATCAACGTCTGATGCTTACTGGGACACCTCTGCAGAACGATTTGCATGTATGGTACCTGTAACCTATTTTTTAGTTCAAGTCAACATCATAGATTGGACATTCTTCTATACAAAAGCCATATATGAGATCCTTGATCAAACTTACAAAAGATTTGGTCAAATACTTTTGGACAATGATATAGTGCATTGCATCACAAGGGTGGACTAGTAGTTATTTGATTCTTGAGGTACCAAAATTTTAAAGCAATAAATAAAAAGAAAAAAAAAACCTAATTATACTGGATAGTTCAGATATTATGAACATTGACAGTTATTTCTTGAATAAAGTAGCTGGAGAAAATTACCTAATATGGTTTCATGATTCTCTGTCATTTGTTCATTAAAATGGAGTATGAAACATACGGCGGATAGTTTTAACAGCTGTAGTGCGTTTATGAGCCTGAAGTAGTGAACGGCAACAAGAACATTCTTGGATTGTAACTAATTGGCAGTACAATAGCACTTTCTGAGGAATCTCTTGCGTGTTATGAAATATCTTACCAGCTTGACTAGTAGCCCTGCTTTGGTGTATGCTTTATATTGCTTGTAATTTCCATGTATAGTGACTTCTCTACTTTTGTCTAGTCTTGTTGCTGAATGAAATATTGCATTATAAGGAATTCAGTTTAACCTTGGTTCTGTATTTTGGTTTGCCTTTGAGGCATCTGTTTCTCTCATTTTCCCACACTAGTAGACTCTGATCTCAATATTTGAGCTTCGGCTGTGTCCTCAAATTGTACTTGACCACGTGTTAATCCATTTTTGATCGATGAGATCTGACAGTTTAACTATGATACGTTGTTATGATAAGTTGTCAAACACACCCTACTACCCTAATGTGCCATGGTTACAGACTTGCAGTTTCCGGTTGTAATTTTAGCCCCTATTTGACAACTTTTTTTTTTTTCGAACTCATTTTGAATCACACATCCTCACAATAAAATATTTTGCATGTAAACCCAAATTTTTTTTCCTACTTTTTAACCACACATTCTCCAAAAATCATTTTCCCCAAAAAACTCTTTATAATGATTGTCAAAGAATGGCTTAATCATATAGACTAATTTATTGTTGCAATAGCCCAACATTTATATTTAATGAGCGATAAAATATCAATAGATCGATTGAATCCCTAAATTAATTAATCTCATTTATCTTTCTATTCTCGAAACTATTTTGATACTGCTTGGTTTCTCTGAAGTGCCTTTGTTTGTTCATTCTCAGGAGCTATGGTCAATGCTGGAGTTTATGATGCCTGATCTCTTCGAAACAGGAGATGTTGACTTAAGAAAGCTTTTAAATGCCGAAGACATGGATTTAATAGCTCGAATGAAATCCATCTTGGGACCATTTATCCTCAGAAGGTTAAAATCGAATGTCATGCAGCAATTAGTCCCAAAGATGCAGATGGTATCATACTGGTCTTGTTTGCTTGTTATTTTGAATTTATTTGGTACTACTAAGTTATTTCATCAGTTATGCTTCACAGAATCTGAATAAGGCCCTAATGTTCTTCAGATTGAGTATGTACACATGGAAAGAGCACAAGAAGACGCTTACACAGAAGCAATTGAAAATTATCGTGTAGCATCTCAAACTCGTATCTCAAAGTCTTCAAGAATGAACTCCAATAATGTCGCTGGTGTACTTCCTCGGCGTCAGATTTCCAATTATTTTCTTCAATTTCGTAAGGTGCTGGGGAATAACTTTCAATTTGTTCACTTTAGTTGCTTAATTTCTGTAATACATGTCACTTGGAAGGATGGTTATGTTTTATCTATTTTCAGATTGCAAATCATCCATTGTTGGTGAGACGCATTTTCACAGATGATGATGTTGTCTGTTTTGCTAAAATGTTGCATCCAAAAGGTGTGTTTGGCTTCGAGTGTACAATGGAAAGAGTAATTGAGGAGCTTAAGAGTTACAATGACTTCTCTATTCACCGGGTAATTTTTATTTTATTTTTTTCAAATATTATGGCCCTTCCTTATTTATTCAGTAATTGACTTTTTAGTCAATTGACATGGCACTTGACTATCCATGAATTATTACTGAGAGATTTTCGACTTACATGGACCTTGTCAGAATGAGCTAAAAATTAATAAGACATTTAAACTAAGAAAATAGAACTTTTAATATGCTGCATGTCGGTTATAGCATGATGCCTTTGTCATTAAGCCAAGAACAAATAGTGATCCCATTACAAATTAAACAGGAAATGAATCGGAATGATTTGATTCCAGAATAGCTGACTAAATATAGAAGGCCAAATATTGGGAAAATAGACATCAAGGTTTACCTCCACAATAACTTGACATCTATCCCAAAAATTTAATCTAAATCATCATACGTATTTTCTTCCTTTTACTTCTGTCACAGGTAATTAGCACATGAATCCAAGAAAAAAATTTGATCCCACTACAAATTAATACAGGAAATGAATCAGAATAATTTGATTCGGAAGATCTGATTAAATATAAAAGGCCAAATATCAGGAAAATAGACATCAAGGTTCACCTCCATGAGAACTTGACATCTATTTGGTAATCAGCTCCCAATAACTTAAACTACAATATTATATGTATTTTTTCATTTTACTTCTGTCACGAGTAATTAGCATTAATATTGATTGAGATGGGTGAGCAAGGAGATACAATTTGACTGTTTTTTGCAGCTTTTACTATATTATGGAGACACTGGTATGAAGGGAATGCTCTCTGATGAACATGTTATGATTTCAGCAAAATGTCGGGTATGTTTTCAGTAACTTGCATGATCTACCGAGTTTTTGAGGTGAAGTAACCTATAAGAAGGTGATATTTAGTGCTTGTTTGTCAACCATTATTGAGAAGAAAATGGTGTAATGAATAGTATTTTTTGGAAAATGTGTGGTTGAAATTGAAAGAAACTTTATCGGTTTATGTGTAAAATATTTTATTATTTGAATGTGTGGTAGAGATTTATTACTGTAGAAAANTTATTTGAATGTGTGGTAGAGATTTATTACTGTAGAAAACAATTTTTTGAAAAATGGTAGACAAACAACGGGGGCTTAATATATCGTGCTCACATAATGACTGAAGTGCTCATGCATGTGTTTTAGGCATTAGCGGAACTTCTTCCCAAGCTAAAGCTTTCTGGACATCGGGTTCTTATTTTTAGCCAGTGGACATCAATGCTTGATATATTGGAGTGGACCTTGGATGTAATTGGGGTCACTTACAGGCGCCTTGATGGAAGGTAAGATTGCGTTTCTCAAAATATTTAGCTACAGTTTCCCAGTATTTAAAAAGGCAAAATCAGGTACCAAGGTGTTTTTTTTGTTGTGAGGTGAGGAGTAAACCTCTCCTTGAGCCAAAAATTAGTCAAAAAAAATTCAAAAATACAAAAATATGCAATACAAGTTTAAGCCTCTTTAATCATACTAAATGTTCGTGCCTCAAATCAAAATCACTACTTATCTACCCTGATTGAATCAATAGCAAGGGATGACAAGGATGGCAGGGGCAGCTTATGATGATAATGATTCACGCTCAGTTATTGTGAGACCTAATTTAAAGATTACACTACTGCCAGGATTCTAGAAAGTGGTTTACTTCGGAGAACCCTTTATCAAAGCACAACTACTAAGATCAGGGTATAGAAAAATTCTCGATCTATAACAAGAATGAAAGTGACAGTACAGAGAGGTCTGTCAATATTGACAGAAACAAAGGGAGACCTAGGACACAACCAAAGAGCACCAAGACTACAATCTTTGGGCTTGGTAAAAGTTAAACAGTCCTTTCAACTATGAAACTGTATATGTATATCAGTAGACAGAGGGTTTTAAGGATTCATTGATGGTTGGAGTGAAGAGGAATCTTGTTCAAGTAGGGAGGGAAATAATAAAGAAAAACTCAACCAAAGAACTGAATTCCAGAAGAGCAGTTGGTTCTCTGATTCTGCCATTCATTCAGTTCATGACTAAGTAGCTCTTAGTTAAATTGCTCGTCTTGATGATTGGGTCTGGTTAATTTTATTATTGTCATTACAGATGGCACTGTGAATTAGATGTTATTATTCAAAACCGCATCATTAATTTATTGAATTCATTTTTATTTTTATATCCTTGTCAGTACGCAGGTAACGGAGAGGCAGACAATTGTCGATACCTTCAATAAGGATGCTTCAATATTTGCATGCTTGCTGTCTACAAGAGCTGGAGGACAAGGATTGAACTTGACCGGAGCTGATACTGTCATAATTCACGACATGGATTTTAACCCACAGATTGACAGACAGGCTGAAGATCGCTGTCATCGCATTGGGCAAACCAAACCTGTTACAGTATACAGGTAGCAGCACTCTCTCCATTTGCATTTTTGTTGTCAGAAGGTTTCAAATTACATTTAATGTTCTGTTTTTTATTTCCAAGGCTGGTGACGAAAGATACCGTTGACGAGAATATTTACGAGATTGCAAAACGAAAGCTGACATTGGATGCTGCTGTCCTCGAGTCTGGAGCAGAAGTTGACAACGAAGGTCAGATGCCTGATAAGACTATGGCAGAAATATTATCGTCATTGTTGATGCATTGAATTCACCATCAGGCAGAAATTCTGTTAGTGCCCATTGGTTTCTTTGTTTTTGAGTATTTTGTTTCGTTAGGGAGTGAGGGAAGGAGGTTAAGGGAGAGCGCTTAATAAGCTCGTTGTACTGTTTAGGTTCATATAAAAATGAAGTTTGGATTCAAAGTTGAATATTGTATGCCCAGTGCTGGCAGTACAGATGTAGATTTATATTATTACCAGATCATTTATTAAAATAGGTTTCGAAATATAAGCATGCTCAGGCAATACACAAAATTGCTTGCGGAAAATATAGATGGCAAAATTTCCCGTCCGCATCTCGCCCTGTATTGCACCGTTCTGTTCAGACATGCAAATACACGAAATAGCTTGCAGAAATAGCGATGGTAAAGTCGTCGTCCCTAACTTGCTGCACATTGCCCTAGTGTGAACGTGTCCCGAATTTTTTATGGCGGGAATGGGAATGGTTGTCCTATCCTAGTCCTGCTCCGTACTAGTACCGTTCCTAGCAAAAAAGGAAAGTGTATTTCAGTCTAGGTAGATTGTAGTGGTCCTTTACATTTTTTAATGTAAGTGGTTTCTAAAAGGTTGAACCCCAACCTTGAGGGCCCCCACCGACCCTGCCATGGGCCATTGTGGAGGAGGTAAATCGCAGGATGTACCTCCCAGGAGCCAGGATGGAGAGCTTATGGATAGGCCGGACTATTAACTCTATGGTAACTCCCGCTTGCAACAAAGTCAATTCCCCCTTGCGGGGAATCGAACTCTGCACACTACCGCGCTGAGCCCTAACCGCCCTCCCCTTTGCCACTGGGAGATATGCCCTGGGGGCAGTCAACATTGAAAGGGAGATATGCCCTGGGGGCAATGTAAGTGGTTTCTAGTTTGAACGTTGATGGGGTCACTTGATTTTAGTTGGACTCGCTGGGGCTGAGTTAGGTTTTACAGCTAAGGTCGAGAGACTACATAGTTCCATCAATCGATGAAACGATACTTGCATCAAACTTGAGTTACTTAAACAATTCATTATAGATTACGAAGCATAAAATTTGCTTTATTTTACATTAAGTAAAATACATGTATATAGATGAGATACCTCGAGTTTTAGCCCTTGTTTGATCCCCATTTTTTGGGTAAAATGTAGTATAAAATAATGATTATTTGGAGAATATGTGGTTAAAACGTAAGAAATTTTGTTTAAAATATGTGTATAATTATTTTATGGAAGAATGTATGGTTGAAAATGAATTTTAAAAAAATATATTTTCGAAAAATTGGGACTCAAACACGCATACATGTTTATTATTCATTTCTTTCACTTTCTTCCCCTTCTGCAGTTTTATTCATCAATTAGTTTTCACTTTTTGATGTAAAAAAAAAAAGAAAAAAGAAAAAGAAAAAGAAAAAAGATTGGACATGCATTCGAAAATAGTTTTGACTTTTTAACTTGTGGCGAAGTTCCCAAAAAAAGGTGCGAGTGCCTTTGAACGCTTTGTACTTTTTTCAATATTGTACCAACCGTGACTTATATGCCTGAGTCTGCAAGGTCCCAATGACACAGACACCCGTGACTCAGCATAGCTTATTCTAGATTCAAAAATGAAATCTTATTAAAATTTTCCATATTCGGTTCATCATTAGAAATCCAATCACAACTCGAATATGACGAAATAGGATGAATTGAGACAATATTTTGTAAATACGTAACTCAGATCATTTTGTTCGTTCATCTTCGATGCAAGAGCACTTGATTAATGAGCTATTACGCACTCCTTCAAAAATGGCTGATTCTAGTTAAATCTCCAAGAGATACTTTTCTTCTTAAAAAGGGGAGTTTGCACAAATGTTCTTTACCTATGAGGTTGCTGTGTAAATGATCCTTAACCTTCAAATTTTAGCACAAACATTCCTAATCTTCCACTTAATAGGAGCAACCTAATCATTCCCATGGTTTTTAATCAAATAGTCTTTAAAAAATGTCATTTTAAAAAAAAAGATGTGTTTGAAAAAATGTCATTTTTAAAAAAAAAGATGTGATTTTTAATCAAATAGTCTTTAAAAAATGTCCTTATTTTAGTTAAATTAGTAAAATAAGTAAAAATGACAACTAAAAAAATAAAAGATGTGTTTGAAAAAATTCCTCTTCAATGCAAGTTGTGATCATCTAGGTGACAACATGTTACTTCACCGTCTTGGAAGCATTTGTTGACTAGAGGCGATGGGGTGTCACTTCATCGGCCCAAAAAGTGCTAACATAACATTTTATTTAGCTAACAGTCACGTGAATTGCTACGCTGGTAAAAGTGTAAGAACGTCATAAAAGATTTTCTATATTAAAAAAAAATGTTGTGACAACAAAACTCCATATGTTGCAAATCTTTTCGAATTAGGAATTTGGTACCTTTGAATTTTTCAGGTAGATATATGGTGTAACTATGTTTAAAATCATATAGAATTGTTGTTTCCTAACAATTCTTTTGGACTCGACAGTTGAGACTTCCTGAGTGGTCATGCTGGTAATCTTTAGTTTTCTATAATTATTATTTTCAACAACAAATTCGATACTGTCTTTCATAAAATTTCAAAGAAAAAACGAAATATAAAACCTTTTGTTCTAGAAGTTAATTCCTCCCTTGTCTATTTTTTTTTTCTGAAAATTTAAGAAAACACGAAGAAAGTTGCACAAAAGTTATACATAAACAAGTCGTCCTGCTAAGTTTATCATAATCACGACTTTCTACTTGTCTTTCAATAGATATATATCTTGACGACCAAAACATCTTCTTCAAAGTCGGCTTGGCTCCATCGACAAAGCAAGCATCATCTTGAACAAAGTCGAAGTTCCTGCAATGATCATAAAAAGCACGTCAACGCTGATTATTTCCTAAGAATAAATTTCATTCGAAATAAAATATCAAAGCGAAGTAATATAAATTTGCTTTGCATTCTTTACAATATCGTACGAAGGTGAAAAATGTGCCAAAGAATCTAATAAGGTCCCAAGAACACAGCGCCCGTGACTTGTAAAGGACAGTGCATTGAGTTCAGGTAAAGACAGGAACCAAAATGCAAGGAAAATAATTACTGAGAAGGACGAGACAACATGGGATGGGAGAAAAAGGGATAATTACATAAAGAGTCCCTAATGTTTTCAAAAAATTCTCTAACACCCTTTTACTTTGTCTTAAGTAGATATTAGGCTACTAATATCATCTTTAAACTTAATTTGTTACTAATATGATATTTCTACACATGTAAGTTATGAACACAGTAATCAGGTTACAACAACCTTGAGAAATGAGAACAAACAATTGTCCAGATTTAAATATTCAAAATTTATTGCAATAATTTTTGGAAAAAAATAATTTCATGAATAAAAAATTGTTCAAATAAATATTTGAAGGTTCAAAATTTTAGTTTTACGTTCAATAAGAAAATATTATTGTAAAAGAAAATATGAAATATTTATTTTTCTTGATAAAGGTGTAAAACCATATATATGGCTCTGTTTAGTGGCGATTAAAATTTTAATTTTTATTTAAGTTAAAGTTAACAATTAATTTTAACCACACATTTAATGAAACCCATAACTTTTCAATTACATTTCATTAACTTTTATCAAAATCTGATTTTAACTGCGTCAAACGAGGGCATGGTCTCAAAAGATATAAAAGGTGTATTCATACACATGAATTTCATCAAATAGGGTTTTGTGCATTGATGGTCATTTTTTCAAAGGAAAAAAAGAAAGTTCTGCATACTCATTTTATATCACATATTTACACAATAAAATATTATTTACGTAAATCCAATTTTTTTCATATTTCTTAACCACACATTCTCCTAATAATCACTATTCAAAACATTATTTTTCCCAAATAATGGCCATCAAACAGGGTCATAGTTTCGAAACCAAAAATAATTTTTCAATTTCAATGTCTTGATTAAACCATAAAAACCTAAACTAATTTCACTACTCATCAACCCTACAAGTATGAAACTAGCATAAAAGTAGAGATCAATTTCTAAACAAACATGATATGCTATGTGATTATCAGCAAAAAAGGACTATAATGCAAAAACAAACAAGAAAAACAACTGACTCACTCCAAATAAGACCGACAAAAACAAAAAGTTAAAATTCGTGTGAAGTAGATTCCAGTTCTTCTTCTTCTTTTCCTTCTTTTTTTAATACTGAAATCATAGCAAAAAGCAAATTATTTGACGCACCTGGTACTTTCATGCTTTCTCTTGTTCATATTTTTTTCTTCATTGAAAGTGCCCGCCTCCAAAAGGTTGGCTTTTCGGCGCAGTCTTTCCTTCTAAATCCAATGAACTCAAACTCTTGCCATGTTGCTGTTCTCTCTGCCCAAATCCACCGCTTACATTTCTCACTATCTCGCCGACAAGCCCGACTCCAAGAAAATCTCTTGTCAATCTACCTTGCTCCATGTTGCTGAAACTTGGACTCTGGTGTTTCTCCAATGGATGCTCAAAGCTGAGTTTATTTGTGGTGTTGTATCCTCCATAGTCATTCTCTTGTTCATTACCACCATATGGATGAGTGTTGACCCCTCCGGGGGTGCCTCCGAAAATGGATGAGTTTCCACCAGTTATGGAACTCATTAGGTCATTGAAATGATTCCCATTATTCTCCCCAAAGACCATTCCAAAGTTGGTCGCAGAATGAAGAGGATAATCGCATTTTGTGCCGCTTGAGGATGAGGTGCCGAAGCTTTTCAGTAGTGAAGCACTGGTGTTGCTTGTTGTCGAACCCAGTTGAGCAGCCTTCTGAAGAAGTGCAGTTGCAGACATTTGTGTCGCACTGACTGAGTGGCTTTGAAGGGATGTGATATAGAGGGAAGGGATAGAAACACTCATATGATCAGTATTCATGAGATTACCTGCAGAGAAAAGGCTCGATCCTTCTCCGCCTCCACCGCCACTGGAATGTCCATTGTTGAAATGATTAGGTAACAATAAGGATGAAGATATGTTGCTGCTGTTAT